GTAAAGCATTCCTGGGTTAAATCTTCAGTACCAAAAAAAAAAAAAGTAACCTTGATGCTACTCAGTTTCAACTTTATGCATTGATTTTAGTCCTTCACCCCATATGAGACAGAGAGTGACAGTGTCACTCAAACACGTTGTAATCAAGAATTTATTTTGCTGAGGATTTTCGGACATCTATAGATGCCAAGTTTTCGAGAACTCTAGAAGTCACCTTGAGAATCACCAGGTGTACTTCCTTCAGCATCATTGAGCCAGCCAAGGTCTGGTCTTTTTTGCTTCCCTGTTTCAGAATTTTCCGACATCTGTTTCTATTCCTCTATAGATTCCAGATCCCCATACCAAGGCACTGCCTCAAGCCAAAGATCTCTCCACTCGGGTTCAATCCCTACACTCCCTTGATCCCTACCATACCATCTTCTCAACACCTCCCACCATTCTTCAACCTCTTGTAAAGTCCAGTGGTCTCATCTCAATTCTTATTCTGCATTATCTGTCTAATAATTTTTTAGGAACAGTCCCTTTGGCTACATGCCTAGCTCCCACGATATTGCACTACTCATGTCCTCTGACTTCAAAGATGTAGACCTTTACTGTATCCCTGACTGACATTTCGTCTCCTACGCTGAGTCCTCACCACATTGCCTGTGCTTGTCTTATTCTGTCACAGAACTTGTCTGCTCTTTTATTCGACATCTTTTATTCTTTCATTATAGTTGTACATACTGATGGGATTCATTGTTACATACTCACACATGCACATGATACACAAGATAAAAATGTGATTTGGCTGATATCACTCCCAATCACTCCCCCCTCCCTCCCTATTTTCTATCCCTTGATCCCTTTCTTCTTCTGATCTCCTTTTGATTTTCATGAGAACCCTGTCCCCTCCAACTTTCTTGTCCTTTTTCCTCTCTAGCTTCTGCATATGAGAGAAGACATATGACCCTTAACCTGAGTTTGACTTATTTCACTTAATATATTTGTTTCTAGTTCCATCCATTTTTTTTTCTGAAAATGACAATCTAATATTTCTTTAAGGCAGAATAAAACTCCATTGTATATATATCACATTTTTATTTATCCTTTCATCTGTTGATGGACATCTAGGCTGGTTCTACAGTTTGTCTATCATGAATTGTGTTGCTATAAACATAGGTATGCATGTATCACTGTAGTATGATAACTTTAATTCCTCAAGACAAATGCTGAGGAGTGGTATAGCTGGGTCATATGGTGGTTCCATGCCTAGCCTTTTGAGGAAACTCCATACTGATTTCCATAGTGGTTGTACTAATTCACAATCCAACCAACATTGTAAAAGTATAATTTGTTCTCTCCAAAAATGTCACTTCTCTTTTCAAGTCTTCCAGAGTTCTATTACTGTACAATGACAATATAGGAAATTAAATCCTCACTATAGGTTCATTCCCATAACTCAATTTATTTCCACTACCATCACTGATATGTAAAGTTCCAATAAGTCAACCCCAATTCTTCCTATCTATCTATATCAGTGCTTTTCAGCCTTTACTGTGCATCAGAATCACCTGGGAAGTTTTAAAAAATTCTGTTGTCTGCGTCCTGATTCTAGAGATTTGGACTCAATTATTATGAGGTGAAACTTAGGCACCAGCAACTTTAAAACATCCTCCAAGATGATTCTAACACATAGCTACAATTGAGACCATTGGTCTTAATTTCATGTACTTTGAAACTCCTCCTATTATCCTATTATCAAACTCCTCCTAAAACCTTTGGCATTTGCACAGTAGCTAACTTACATAGTGCTTACTATGTGTCAGACACCATTTAAGGTTCTTTCCACATATCAACTCACTCTTTCCAACAACCTTATGATATGCTATTATTATCCTCATGAGGCATAGAGAGGATAAGTGACTTGCTTGGCCAAACCTTTGCAGTGAGTCTGTAAATCTTCTGTTCATGCAGGTGCTATATAGCCTCCCCAAACGGAACTGTACTCTCAGTCCTTATAATTTCCTCCAAGTCTCTGTCTTGCTCATATCCTATACAAATGACTACTGGGCCTCCCTGCTACCCATCTGCTCCATAGTTCATGGTGTTAACCCTACAGAGCACACTGTCAATCTGCACTTGAGCAGCCCATGTGCATCGGACTTGGAGTCATCAGGCTTTTGATGAGCTCTTAATCCCATCACTTCCTTACTGTATCACTTTTTCTTTTAACTGTATCATTTTATTTGAGTCTGTGTAATCTATGAGCCTTGGTTTTCTCAGATATTAGGAAAACCGGAACTACCTTTTCATCTAACATCTTATATGTGATTGTGCTCTGTAAACTGTTAAGTGGTAAAGAAAAGTTGCCATTATTATGGTCTATTTTTTTCATCATTTCTGAAATTAGATTAGAGTGCTTGAAGATAGAAAAGGTTATGTAACATACTTCTGAATTACTTCTTATAGCTGCTAAACACAAAACAGGTGGAGATATTTATAAGTGCTCACTGACAGCTAGATTCTTTTTTGCTGGGCGATTCAACATTTGTACAACACCGGGAACAAGTTATATTTTTTATTTCCCCCAAATTGTACACTTTTCCTAGAATCCTGCCCCTGTACCCTGAATTATCTTCTATTGTGTTTGCTTCTTCTGTTCTTCTGCTGATGCTTGATATTTTATTAAAAATTTTTTTTAAGTTGTAAATGGACACAACACCTTTTTTTTTTTTTATTTATTTTCATGTGGTTCTGAGGATCAAACCCAGTGCCCCATACCTGCAGGCAAGCGCTCTACCACTGAACCACAACCTCAGCCCTTGATATTTCACTTTTAAGTTAACGATTATACTTTACCTTTTTGGCAAACTTTGATTGTATTTTTAATTGGTTCTTTTTAGTTACATATAACATTAGGATTCATTTTGACATAATTATAAAAGCATGGAATATAAGTTGCTCTAATTCAGGCCCCAGGACTTCCCTTTTTCCTCTTCTCCTCTCTCCCCAAGGAGTTCCCTTCCCTCTATCCTACTGATCTTTCTGCTATTTACTTATAGTTTTTTTATTCTATTTTTTATTTTTTTTAGTTAGTGTCTTGTATCATGCTTTTCAAACTTTATGGGAACTTGTATTTCTATCAATTTTCACTTGACACCAATACTGCTAACCAGTAGGCCACACATTGAGTAGCAAGGTCCTAGTGTGCTTTATTTGATTAAAAATTATTGTACTCCCTCTCCTTGGTCTATACCCAAAGAACTTAAAAACAGCATACTACAGGGACATAGCAGCACAATTCACAATAGCTAAACTGTGGAACCAACCTAGATGCCCTTCAGTAGAGAAATGGATAAAAAAATGTGGCATATATACACAATGGAATATTAGTCAGCAATAAAAGAGAATAAAATCATGGCATTTGCAGGTAAATGGATGGAGTTGGAGAAGATAATGCTAAGTGAAGTTAGCCAATCCCCAAAAGACAAATGCTGAATGTTTTCTCTGATTTAAGGTGACTGTCTCATAGTGGGGTAGGGAGGGGGAGCATAGAAGGAACAGATGAACTCTGGATAGGGCAAAGGGGTGGGAGGGGAAGAGAGGGGGCAGGGGGTTAGCAAGGATGCTGGAATGTGATGGACATCATTATCCAAAGTACATGTATGAAGACATGAATTGGTGTGAACATACTTTATAAACAACCAGAGATATGAAAAATTGTTCTCTACATGTGTAATAAGAATTGTAATGCATCCCACTGGCATTCATTTAAAAAATAAAATCAATTAAAAATAAAGAAAATTATTGTACTACTGAACATAGACTTTTATCAATATGCTTATTTTTCATAATAGTAATAATATTTTATATATAATTTTGCACAATACTTAATATACTGCCAAAAAAGTTTCCATGTCATTACAATGTTCCTATCATGATAATATTCATGACT